GCTACCTGGCCGGCCAGGGATCAAACTCGTGCTGCAGAGGCTGAGATAACTTCATAGTGCTGTGCTTTACCCCTTGCGCCACCAGGGAGGTGCCTCCCTTATTTTTTTGATGATGAGAAGCAGATTCTTGTTCTGCCCTTTAAAGACTTTTCATATAAGTCACGATATAACTACTTCCACTCAAGTTTCCTTTAAAGATTTGTTGGAATTTTCATTCTTTTGCATCACAGTGAGTTAACAATTGTTTACATTTCAAGTTGTTAACAAAAAGATTTTATGGCTTTTGGACAATTAAATGTTCTAGTAACATGGATAAGTAAACTTATATTGCTTATCAATTTTGTGTTTTCATTTCTTAATTATCTGCGGAATTCTGGTGGTTGAGTTTTTGTTTCCTAGAAGCAAGGTCAATGTTAGAAAAATTGTGGAATTTTCCCTTGGCATTACAGTAATAAGTAAATAGCTGCTATTTATAGGGACTTGTATTTTGATGAGATACCCTGCCTGGCTTGCCATAAAAACACAGATGCTTCTAGATTCCAGTAGGGAGGCCTTTTGCTAATAGCATCTGTTTCAGTTGGCCAGCCAGATGACTTCTACAGAGTTTTTCACTTTTTTTTTTTTTGAAGGACACCCTTTGACAAGTAAACAGGCTTACAAATGAAAAGGTTAACTTAGCATTTTGTAAAATTTTTATTACTTTGGCTGTGTGATTTTGAACTATTAGATAAGTAATGAAGTTATAGCACTTCCTAAGTAACCTTGAAATGTCCTTTGTGTACGTGTTCTTTGAATTATTTATTTTGCAATTGAGATAGATTTATATTGCTCTATAGCTGATTCAGTCAACAAATGCTTGGTGAGAGTTCCTGTGTCCAGGCTGGGCACTAGCCCTGGGAGCAACAGCCCACGCAAGAGACAGCCTCAGCCCTTGAGGAGCACACTCTTTAATGCAGTGCAAACTTGTAAACAGACAATAAAAACACAGGCCGGTGCTTCCATGTGATGTTTATTTTATAAGTTTCAATGGGCTGCCCCACTAATGGGTGTGTCTAAGAAAATCTTCTAGAAAGAGTAATGTCTGAGCTGAGAATTGTAGACTGAATCGGAATTTGCTAGACAGGAAACTCAGAGGGGAGAGAGAAGGATATAAAAGGAAGAGACTTGTAGGTGACAGAGGGTAGATAGGAAACTAAAAATGTCCAGTATATTTTTGTCAGCTGGCTGGTCAGATTGTGACCCTGAGCAAAAATATCGTCTCATTCAGAAAGCACACTTCTGGCCTAGATTCTATCCAGCTTAAATTCTAAATTGGTGATTTCTAAACATATTGAATCCTATCAGTAAAAAATGTTTTGACCATATGTACTCTATATATTTATATTTATTTATAACTGATGGTAATACTAATAGTTTATAGCAAAACATATACATTGTAAAAAATAAAAGGGATGAGCTTAAGATGAAATATACAATATTTTAATTTTGTTTAAGTTATTAACAAAATAGAAAGCAAAATGATGCTTTCTAAAGTCTTGGTTTAATATTTTGTGATACCACTATTCAGAAGTCGGTGTCTAATTTTTTTTATTTCAATACTTGCCTTTTTCTAAAGATTTATTTACTCATACAAGAGCTGGGGTACAGGTCAGAGGTTGGGGGGGGGTGAGAGGATTCACCAGAGAGAGAGTGGGGAACAGAACAGGCAGACTGACTGAAATACACTGCTGAGGGAGCAGTGGGCGAGACAGGAGAGGTCTGCTGTGCCATGTGGGTAGGTCCCTGGCCTGCTGGAGATGGAACTCATGCTGCAGAGGCTGTGGATAGCTTCACAGTGCTGTGTTTAACCCCTTGCACCACCAGGGAGGCCCTCAATACTTGGTTTTAATGACTGTCAAAACCTAGATAAAAATGGGGAAATGTGGCTGCACTTTCAAAATCATGATTTTTTTCAGATTCACTCACCATTTATAGAAATGTTTTATTGAAATATGCCTGGGAAGTTTCCATTGATCTGTTAGTTTTTCTTACAGACTAATCAGAATATGTTGTACTTTCATAGTGCTAAAAATGGGTTAAAATCCCTGAAAGTCTTCATTTACATGATTTTTATGAGGTTAGAGAATTTTGTTTCTAATTTTTTTAAGCATGCAGATATGAGTTTTTATTTCTCATTTATTTTTAGGTACCATAAATTGCTTAAACAGCAAAATCACTTAGCATTAGAAGTGTTTCCAAATACCCATTTTTGAACTGCTCTGTTCATGAGCACAATTACTAGCCTTGACTTTTTTGTTTTTGTTCTGAAAGAGCAGTTTCTAACATGTGTTACAACATTTTCATCCAATTGGAGCAAAGTGAGTTTTCTTCATATTCTCTTGGTAACATCCTACTTACAATTTCTTCAGAGGAGCACTAGTCTTTTTATAAAAGGGAATTGTATAACTCATCTATGTTCAACAGATCTCATAAGTGCTTTCCCTTGTGGCAATCAGTTAATCCCTATGCAATTAAAAAAATCTTTTTTATCACTTTAAAGAATAAAGTGATAAAGTGCTTCCTACCTCTTTGCAGAGTGTAGGAAAGATTCTCTATTATAAGTCTTGTTTCAAGAAAGTTGACCTTGGTGACATCCCAAGGCACAAGGTCACACCTTTCCTCTGTCTTATTTGCAGCAGTAGCTTCTGGAAATGAAGCAATGAATCACTTTCACAATAGATGTTACCTTTGTAGCTTTTATTCTGGAATGCTTTTTTAAAAATTACAATCAAGTCAACTAACCATTCCATCAGTGGTTACAGTTTTCTTTGGAAGTACATTGTTTCATATACAATTGAGACTATACCCTTTCAGTAGTGTTATCTTTGGTAACTCATAAAATTATAGTTCTTGGTGTGTTTCATAATTACCCAGAAAGTATGCTCAGATAAAAGAAATACCTGTATTTTGAGCTAACTATAATTTCATTTCTTTAGGGTTTTCTAAGGGCTTCTGAGTGCATTTACCAGTAAAAGAATGCTTTTTGTCACTATTTTGTTTTCCATGCATCATTTTAGCCAACTTTACTGTGGTTCCTGGCTTCTTGTCTTTTATCCTAGGAGACTTTAACAGTTTCATCACATGAACTTTAATACCATTTTGTGAAGTGCTGGATTGAAAAGGATATGACTTTAAATAGAGGTGGAAAAAAAATGTAGAAGTTTAGCTCTTGCTGTGAATACACTTAATTTTTAAAAGCCTGGTAGGTTATCAGGACTTTTTTTTTTAGTGTCACTAAGTTATGTGTTAAGGCAAGATGTACACTTAGGATGCAGTTCATCTTAAATAAAAATGGGTGTGAAATAAATACAAACAGATGTACTAACATTTTCTTCTCACACTCCAAACGATTAAGTTGCAAACCCCTTGCAAATCCTACTTTAGAGACAACTGATCTCAAACAACTGGGGTAGCTATTGCTGAAACTAGTCTTTTAGTTAAAGCACAAGCAAAGCAAAATGGAATTTGTTATCTGCTGTAGTTTCATATTTGTGAGATAAACTTAAGAAGCATCACCTTTGGCTTGAAGTTTGAAGAATGAGCACTTTAGTCATAAACAGACTATAATTATGAGTGTCATATTTCACCAACTAGAAAACCTGAAAGAATGCTGGAAGTGTTATTGGTTAAATACATTATATGAAGGAATGTTTTGTTGATCAAAAAAGACTGTTAATTGATGTTTTTTAAAAAATACACTGTAATTATTTTTGTCGAGAGGTATTTGGAAGATGGCATTTCTCTGTCTGTAGGAAAGTAAGGTTCATAGCCGCTTGGGATCTCCTATTTTTTTTATTTTAAGATTTATTTATTTATTTATCCAAGCACTGGGTACAGTCAGAAGCGCGGGAGGGCGAGAGAATTCACCAGAGCTAGAGTGGGGAACAGAACAGGCAAATGGACCGAAGTACACTGCTGAGGGGAGCAGCGGGCGGCAGGAGAGGTCTGCTCACCATGTGGGACCCTCGCCGGCAGCCGGGGATCGAATCGGTGCTGCAGAGGCTGTGGCAGCTTTGCACCTCGCAGCCCAGCGCTCAACCACTGCGCTACCAGGGAAGTCCCCACTTGGGATCTCTTATAAAAAGAGACTTTTTCCTGATATACTTTGTCAGACTTAATGAATTTACTTCATTGCATTTTTATCAGTCAAGATTCTTTTCTTTGGAAGAGATGGAAAATCAACTCAAATAAGCTTGATCAAAAATGAGAATGACTGATTCATAACCAACATTTAGGCCTGGTCTCAATGGCTCTTGCTGGTTTGTCAGTTCTATGTTCCAGACTCTATTTCTCTGTCTTTGTTTCCTTCGCTATCTCTGATAGTTTTACTCTCTTAAGTGGGAAGTCTTCCTTCTTGCTTGTGTGAAGCACTGGGAGTAACCTTCTTTTTGCACCTGTTTATATAACCCCCACCCCCACCCCCAGGTGGAAGAGGAGCCTGTGTGCTGTGGCTGTCAGGCCCTCTAAAGCACATGGGATGGGGAAGGAACAGTCTGCAAAAGGATGGCTTTGCTGTTACCACAGAGGAAGGGATGCTGAGAGTCACAAGTAATAGGTGCTTACTACAGTACCATGACAGATGCACAAGTCATAGTCATCTCACCTAATCCCCAGGAAACTCCTCTGGGATCTGGTGACTGCTTCTGCAATCTAAAGAGGGAGAGAATAGAGTCTGTGGGAGGAGAAATCTGATTGGGGGATGGTGAAGGAGGCAGGGCTTGAGGGAATAAGCATGGAGGGAGCCAGGAGGGTGCTGGCCAAACTGGACCTGGGCTCCAGGCTGGATCAGAGAGAGTGACAGCTTTATCTGTTTTGTTTTTTTTTTAAGATTTATTTTTATTTATTTATGCATACGAGAACTGGGGTGTAGGTGAGGAGGAAGAGGATAGGAAGGCTTAAAATATCCTTTAAAGTGATAAAAGATGACTCAATTTTGTTTTCCTAATCATTGATTCTTACAGAGTATGCAAGCTGCAAGATGTCCTACGGACGAATTATCTTTAACTAACTGTGCAGTTGTGAATGAAAAGGATTTCCAGTCTGGCCAGTGAGTATCTGACTTTGTTTTTTTCTAGTGTGCTAAATGGTATTTTATTTCATTTTTATTTATTTATGCATACAAGAACAGAGGTACAGAGTATGAGAGGGTTTACCAGAGACAGAGTGGGGAACAGAACAGGTGGATCCACTGAAATACACTGCTGAGGGGAGCAGTGGGCAAGACGGGACTGGTTTGCTGTGTCATGTGAGTCAGCTTCCTGGCTGGGGATCAAATTGCCAGCTTCCTGGCAATAGCTTGTTAGCACTGAGACTTGAATCCCTGCGCCACCAGGAAGGCCCCTAAAGTGGTATTTTAGAAACTTACAGAGAGTCCTCTTGCTGAGCTGGAAATAGAAGAGATGAAAAAGACACTATTTCAGTGTTTACTGCGTCAAACTATGATAAATTATCTTTTAAATGATATGTAGTTTTTATAGGTAACTTTTTTCTTATTTATTTTCTTAGCAGGACTAAACAGAATTTAGCCGAGCTAAACTACACTGGTTCTTTGACTCATAGTAGCGCAGTCACCCGGTTTTTGTCTTTGGAGTCAGTTCTTCTGAGTTCACATCCTGGCTCTGCCAATTACAAGCAAGATGACTATGGATAAGTTATTTATCCTCTCTGTGCCTGTCTCTCCTAATCTGTAAAACAGGGGTGTTGGTAATATCTTCCTCAGGGTAGTTGTGAAGATTGAGTTACACAAATAAAATAGAACAGTGCCTAGCGCGTGAATAAGGCCCCAATAGGTATTAGCTATTCTGATCATTATTACCATGACGACCTAAGCAGAACGAAATCTGCACGGTGCACACCAGCGTAGCACCTTTACAAACATTTGTCCTTGTCATTTATTTTAACCAGTTCACATCACCCACTGCCAGGCCTTTTAAAGACTTTGTTACCAAATTCAGTGCCCTCCATGTGCTTCTGAGATTGGCAAAGGTGATGAGGGACTGTCCCAGAAAGCAGTCAGACAAATAGGGCCTTGGAAGCAGGAATTTTAACTGTGACATATTTTTGGTTGTTTTTCAAGCTATTTGTGAAATACGTGAGTTCCACAGGATTAGAATTGCTAATCATCGCGGTTTTCAGCTCAGAGTAAGGGGCTATGCTAGGCAGCATATCAACATTGTTTCTAGTCCAATGCTGAGCTGAATACAGAGCTTTCATCATACAAATCAGTGTGAGAATTTGTTTATGGGATTCTTTGACCTATGTCCCATGTTCACTGTTCTCAGATGGGGTTACTCAAACTATTATCATATTTTATATCTTATCGATATAAGGGACTTGTGACCTCGTAGCAAAATGACACGCAAAAACATTCATCATGAATATTAAAAAATTACAGCATTCAAAAAGATAATTTTAAAAACAGTGCTGTTGCCTAACAGAGTTTGAAGCATCTGTCTCACACACACAGTCACTGCTAGCTTCTTGGTGTAGGAGATGATCAAATGATGATTGTATTTTAGCTATTTTCAGTTAACTTCTCCCAGGGTGAATTAGCACAAAATCTTTGAAGTAGTAAGTACCGTTATCTCAGTGAAAGCTAATGTATTTTGTGAAAAATTTTCATTTTTCCCATCTTTTTAATTTGCAGGTTGATATTGTTTCAACCTGTTATGAGAACCTGCAAGAGATTTAACAAATAGTCCTAAAAACAAACATTTTTTACTGGTATATCCTGAGTCTTCTATCTTTGGTTCTCTTCCCTCCTATTAAGGATGTGAAATAATTCTTAGGAGAAGAACTTCATCTAATTTTTATGTACTATCAAGGTCTCTAAATATCTTCAGTTTTTGTCAGCTGGTAATGTAATAAAGTAGAGATTGTTCACTCTTGAAATTAGTCCTAATTCTGCATGATGTACATTTGGCCTAAGGTGCTTCCTATGCCTGGAAAACATTTGGATTTCTGACAAATAGAATTGAACGTGAAATTTATGGTCCTTTTCCTTCGGGACTCCCATAAACTGCCATGCTTCTGCTTAGTACACATCACGCGTCAGGTGTTGCAAATGACGTGTCGGAAGTGGGCTTCTCTCTTCTGACGTGCAGTACTGACTGTGCTTCTGTTTTTCAGGCATGTGGTCGTGAGGACCTCTGCCAGCCACAGGTACACATTCACACTGAGGACCCATCCGTCAGTGGTCCCAGGGAGCATTGCATTCAGCTTACCTCAGGTAACTCAGGGGTTAACTGATTCTCTCCTTCTAATCTTGAAAATTATAAAAGAATTCATTTGTTTAAAGCAAGCCTTACCTTACAACTATGTTGATTCATGCTGAAGAAAAATAACAGTATTCTATAAGGAGTTTAATGTTCACTATGTCTGCCTTTCGTCACCTTGGCTTTTTCCTAATTTTATTCTGCAGTGATATCAGTTACCTATCAGATAAAGTATCAGGTTATTTTAATGTTCACTTCCAGGGTAGCAGAAAAGCTATAAAAAATAACATTTACTTTTAAAGTGGACAGCTAATAAAAGTGATTTTTAAATTCAGTGATGTCAGACAAGAATGTGATATGAGTAGGTCACCTCAAATTACAACCCCTCTTGCTAGACCCCCATGATGACTGGATGGATTATGATTTCAGCTGTAATCCTTGGTGCAGTCTGCGGAGGGAAGATTGTTTAGCACAGAATACATAATCTAGGAGTCCACAGTACTGCCTGTATCCTTTCTCCTTCTACCTTTTTTTTTTTTTTTTTAACTCAAGCCACTGATTCCATAATCCTAAGCAACCCCTGTCTCCTCTTGAATGCTGATAAGCCCTGATTTCCTGTCCTGGGAGTGTAGGGCAAGAGAGAGGTGCTCTTTAGGCAGCTATGAAAGATCTCTTGAGGCTCTCAAAAATTAGGGGCAATCTCCACTCACTCTTCCCCTTTTCTCTGGATTCCTCTCCATTACCAGAGCTGCTTTTCACCTTTGTTTCTATAGATCAAAAGTTTGGAATACTCCAGTTTGGTTTATTCCAAAGTTTCATTTGGGATTCTGTTGATCAGAATTGGGGTTTCTGAATATTTCTGCTTTTCTCTCTGCTTTAAAAAACTTCCCCTAGCCTTTACTCTAGGCCACTTACTGTTCTGAGTACTTCTACCTGTTAATTCATTTAATTTTCAAAACAACCTCATGGGATAAATAGAATTGCTCTCATCCCTTTGGAATCAAAGTACAGAACCTAAATGTAGCTGCTTTGCGACAAAGTCTGGACATAACCAGCATGCTGCTAAACTTCAGGCTGACTGAAAGTGGGGAGAAGAGGGAGGTGATACTGAAAGAGGAGGGAGAAGGTACCTGTGGTGAGAGCTAGAAGGGAGAGCACTTGATACTGCACACATTCAAGATGCAGCATCTTCTGAACCATCCGCCACAGGATCTGTGATGTTCAGATGGGTAGACGTGCTACTGACTTTCAGCCAAAATTATTTTGCTCACTGTTCTTTGGAGTGTTATCAGTAATTACTAATTTTGAATGTATACTGTGCCAGTCCCCAATTCCTGCCTCAACACAATCTGGCCTGCCTCAGTACATACTTGTAACCAGTTAGGACTTGGAGAAGTTCAAGTCTGCTTGCAAATGCCTGAAAATTCTCTGACTGTTACCCAAAGAAGAGTCATGGTCATCTAATGATTTGAATCCCTGCTTGGGTTTTAGGGTAGGTGATCTGACAAGTTTTAATTTGGTTTTCATGAACTGAATGTCTTTCTTGTTTTGATACTATAATAAACAGTATAACAAACAACAGTGTATTTAGAACAAGGAAATATTATCTGCAATATAATGAAGGCTTTTGGGAGCATGATATGCAAAGAAGCAGCCTACTCTGGCTTACTGTAAAAGGGCAAACTTTGTATGTTTTAGAACAGATGTTCAGTTATACACTATAGCATGTGCATTCACTTCTTAGGACAGCTGTAATGAAGCCCCACAACCCGGGTGACTTAAATCAACAGAAATTTATTGTTTTCCAGTTCTCTAGTCTGGAAATCTGAACTCAGTGTCAGCAGAGCTGTGTTCTCTCTCAAACCCTGCTTAGCTTCTGGTGTTGCTAACAATCTCTGATGCTCCTTGACTGGTGGATGTATCCCTTTGTCCTCTGCCTCCCTTGCCAGGACTGTCTCCCTGTGTCTGCATCTCGTCCCTTCTCATCAGAACACCAGTCATGTTAGCTTAGATTCTGCCCTGCTCCATGTGACCTCGTCTTAACTGATACATCTGCAAAGACCCTGTTTCCAAATTGGTCATGTTCACAGAGGCCAGGTGCTAAGACCTCACCGTATCTTTTTGTGGAACACAATTCAATAAATAATCCCATTCCATGTTTTGGTCTCTGAATATGTTCATGAAATTCATAGAATTTCTTCTTTTCCCCATTTCTCTAATTTCGATGTCTTTTTTTTATTTTATTTTACAGCGAAAATGGGCTGGACTTTCTATTGGGCAAGAAATAGATGGTAGGTATATTTTTCATTACCTGAGGTAGATTCTCTCCTACTATTTAGATCTGTACAGTTTTCTGTTACTGATTGTCTGGACATTAAACACTCATCCTGTTCATATTACTGTTTAGACCTATGAGAATGAAAGTAAATTCGTATGATACCTATACCTATACCTCTTCATCTACTTGCTATTCTGCCTGAAAATGTAGGTTTTTTTTTTAAGATTTATTTATTTATACAAGAACTGGGGTACAGTCAGAGGCATGGGAGGGTGAGAGAATTCACCAAAGACAGAGCGGGGGGCAGAACAGGCAGACGGACCGAAGACACTGCTGAGGGGAGCAGCAGGCGAGGCAGGAGAGGTCTGCTGCACCATGTGGGTTGCTCCCTGGCCAGCCGGGAATTGAACCTGCGCTGCAGAGGCTGCGGACAGCTTCATAGCATGGCACTCAACCCGCTGTGTCACCAGGGAGGCCTGAAAATGTAGTTCTAATGGGGAAAAGAATATCCACTTATTCTTAGTTCACACAGAATGTGCATGGTAAATATGTGCACAAATATTACCATTATCAAGGCTAGAAAATTAGCCAGAGAAATCTTGCTAGGTCCTGGAGTGTTGACTGTGGAATAGGAAGAAAGCATTACATGTTAGAGACAAGGAAGAAAGGCTTTGAAGATTTGAAATAATATAAATAAATAATATAAATAAAGCAAGTCAAAGGTTGTACTCAGAAATTATGTTTGCCTAATTGAAAGGATTTGCTTGAGTGGATTGTGTTAAGTGGTAAGAGTTGAATATGAAGTTAGTGGAGGAATTAGAAGTACATACTGGAAAATTTGGATTTTTATACAAAAACAGTGATGTGTGCCTGAGGGTTTGTTAATGAGCACATCAAAATCCTACTTTTAGGAAAAGATTCTGAGGTCAATATGGTGTAGAGTGAAGAGTGGGGAGAATTCAAGAGTTGAGAGAAATGGTGTGGAGATTGTTCGATTTGCCTGGAATTATGTTCAGTAGGACTTGGTGAAATTATAACTATGGAATTTCCTATTTCTTTATTTATTTTTAAAAGAATACTTTTTAGAGTGTTACACATTTTTTTTATGGATTTATTTATTTATTTTTATACAAGAGCTGGGGTACAGGCCAGAGGTGCAGGAGGGTGAGAGGATTCACCAGAGACAGAGTGGGGAACAGTACAGGCAGACAACCGAAATATAATGCTGAGGGGAGCAGCAGGCACAGGAGAGGTCTGCTGCACCATGTGGGAATCTCCCTGGCCGGCTGGGAATCAAACCCGTGCTGCAGAGGCTGCGGACAGCTTCACAGCACTGCGTTCAACACCGCTGTGCCACTGGGGAGTATATATATATATACACACACACACACACACACACACACACACACACACACACACATTTAAAGAACAAGTTCATTAGGAGAGGGACAGAAAAGTAAAGTACACTTTCATAGACACAGGTGGGCAGGAAGAGCTGCCCCAAAGATATAGGTTTGCTGAGAGAGAGGCCTGCATGGTTGTAGGCGGGTGGCCTTGAGGAGAGCTGCCTCCGCTGAGGGAGAGGTCAGTGAAGAGAAGTCCTGGCATGGTACAGGTCATGGGCAGGCAGGAAGCTGCTGCCTTGCAGAGGAGAGAGTTGGTAAAAGGAGCACCTACATAGTCACAGGTGGGTAGACGGGAGTGCTGCTGGAATTTCTTTTTTAAATCTATATTGAAGAGGAATAATTGGTATTACTTGGGGATTCCACTTTACTATATACTGAAATGTGTTTTCTCCTGTGTTTGTCCGGATAAATAAGTCTAAGTTGGAAGAAAGAGTGGCAGTACTTAAGAGAATGGCCTGTTTTTCTCAATGTATGTTATGCAGTCATCATAGCACATTAGGGAAGGACATGGGAAACAATTTATGGCTTCCGGAGTGGGGGGGAAGATTAAGCCACTGTGGATTATAAGCCAATGAACTAATAAGCAAAAACAGGCATTGTTTCATAGGCCATGTGACAAAGTTGTCAAATTATTCATGTCAATTGCATGGTACAGTAGGGGAAGAAAAAAATAGGCGAGTATAGTTAAACCAGCTGTTTTCTCTGCTTGCTTTTAAAACCTAAAAAAAAAAATTCATATTTACAGATGATATATTTGCATATGCTCTTCTGCTTGTGATCCCACTCTTCTTTTAGTTACGACACTCTTCTTTTAGTTAGGACTTAAACAAGACCTTTAGTCAGGTCTCTGAAATGATCCTCATTAGTTCTTCTGTCAGCCACTACTTGGTTGAATAAAACTTATTCTAAAGTAGATTCCTCCAAGGAGTATATATGTTATAGTGTTCCCTAAGTTCTTGAGTGTTTACACTATTTTTCCTATATCCTTAATATTTCAAATGCAGCTTAGCTGGATATCAAATTATTGGATTGTTTTCTTTCCTTGAATTTCTTGAAAATGCTGCATTAAAGTTGCCCTGCTTCGTGTGATCCTCTCCAGGAGTCTGATACCAGTATCATTTTCTTTCCCTTATAAGTAATTTGATTTTATGCTGGGAGCCTTGAGGGTTTTTCTGCCTTCATTTAGTCTGCTCTCCATTAGTCTATGATCTTAAATTGCCATTAGCCACAAAATAAGGAAACATTCTCAACCTCCCCCTTTGCTCCTTGATGAACCCTCAGGGCACCTCTCCCTTTGGAAGTGATTGGCGCTGACCATGGTGCTGCCTGAGGTGCTGTCAGAGGTGCTGTCCATGGTACTACCCTTAACTTTTTGAAGTTGTAACAACTAGAAGGTCTTTTTGGTTTAGGAACATTGACCTTAAATTAAAATGTACTTAAAAATTATAGCCAGTCATGATGATATTTTAATATGTTTATTCACATTTCTTGGTAAAAGATGATGCATCATGCCATTGTGAAATCATTTTGGGGTCTTATGTGCAAAATGGCATCATACTGTAAAAATCTTTGCAACATACTCTGCATTCAACATTATATTGTAATGGGTGACCCATCTTTATTAACATACCAAGTTTTTATTTTTAATTTCTGTACAGTATTCCATATTAGGAATATACCAATTTTATTCACAATTTACAGGTCAGCATTATTTTAAAGATTTATTTATTTATGCATACAAGAGCTGGGGTACAGGCCAGAAACGTGGGGTGGGGGGAGGACTCATCACAGACAAAGCGGGGAACAGAACAGGCAGATTGACAGAAATACACTGCTGAGGGGAGCAGAGGGCGAGTCAGGAGAGGTCTGCTGTGCCATGTGGGTTGCTCCCTTGCTGGCCGGGGATTGAACTCATGCTGCAGAGGCCACAGACTGCTTCATAGGTTGCGTCCCAACCCCCTGCACCATCAGGGAGGCCCCAAGATCAGCATTTTAAAAACACGTTTCACAATTACAAATAACGCCGCAATGAAACACACTATAGATTTCTTTTTAGGTAAATGTTCAAGAGTCTTTCTGGGACAGACACTTAGAGATGGAATTGCTGAATCAACTTACTAATTTTTACATTAGTATTTCCCTGTATATATAATTTCACTATGTGGGAAAACAACTAAACTCTGTTGCATGAAAGTTATTTAGCATAAAGCCTGTGCTTTCAAACTTCCAGAAGTGGAGGCTGCAGACTATTCTGAAACTTTTTTGAGTTCATTCTTTTATCCTCATGGCATTTTCCATCCCTCACCCTGACTTTCTGCGTTGTTTTACTTTTGAAAATGTTTATCTTTAAAATATGTATGTCCCCCTTTATGACAGCAGACAAAAATATAAACGTGTGACTATACAAGCCATTTTGTTCAAAGAATTTAAGAAAGTCCTTGTACATAACTCCTAACTAAACTGTAAGAAATAAGTTTAGAAGCGAATTTAGATGCTGAAACATAAACATTCATCTAGTCTAGTCTTTTTATTTTATAGACATGAAAAAACAGAGAGTTATAATTTACTTAGAATCTTCTTGTTACTAGCAGTCTGTTGAAACACACAGAATCAAAAATCCCCCTGTCTTCCTTTGTTATTAGTATGGTCACTGTGGCATTTTTGTGTTGCTGTTTCATTGAAACAGGTCATGAACATGTTAAGAATCTAACAGACACTTATGTGCTGTCAAGACAAGGATGAGTTAAAAGCATGGCTCTTGTACTGTTCTTGTCCACACACCTCTCATCTCACATCTTTCTTGTGTCAAACAGGAATCTTGTTTGCAAACAGCCTGCTCTTCCACTCCAAGGGGCTGCCCTCACTGTTGCTTTGTCCCCTATTAAATAAGGAGGAGGAAGATGCAGAAGTTGTGTGAAGAGGACTGTGGTTTTCCCCATGAGTTGAGTGAGGGGTAAAAGTTGAGGGAGTGTGCTGTTCAATATGTTCCAATCAATTCAGAAAGGGAAGAAAATCTCTACTGGTTGTTATTATTTTTGAAACACCTGTGCCTGTGCATGCCTCCACTGAAGGCCATGTAAAGTCTCCTTTGGGTCAAGTTTCCTTCTGATTTGCTCATACGAAAATTCTTATTTCTTAAAACACAGTATTTGGTGTCCCTGTGGTTGAAAACAATGCTGTTTTTCACTCCTAGTGTCCTCATATACATTTGACAAAGCCAAGCAATGTATTGGCACAATGACCATCGAGATTGATTTCCTCCAGAAAAAAAGCATCGACTCCAACCCTTATGACTCTGATAAGATGGCAGCAGAATTTATTCAACAGTTCAACAACCAGGCATTCTCAGTGGGACAACAGGTACTTTCTAAATTTCTTTCATTCCTTTGACTTTATAGGCATTCTGATGCCTGCAGCATGCAAAGTCAGTTCCACTTTGTAAAAGCCGAGAGGGATTTTGCTTATTTATGGAAAGGTATATCCACAGGAGGTGATACAGGGCAATGAAGGTGTATTTACTGAACCTCTAGGAGTCTGTTCAGGATAATTCTAAAGTAGCTTTTAGGTAGCAATGTCACATACAATTACAGTAGCTTTTCATCTTGGGTTTTGGAACACTGCAGAGCTTTGGCTCAAGTTTCTTCTTTTTCTTATCGTGGGACATTGCTTTTGACTTTGGATGTCTTTCTCTTTTACTGATACATTTCTGTAGGAAAGTAGTTCTTAACTTTGTTTGGTTATGAACTCCTTTGAGAATCTTAAGAAAATTATATAAACACATTTTCAGGTTTTTCATGGAACCCCTGATACCCAGGCTTTCTCTCCTTTCAAATGATACTGCTGATGTCCCTTTTTGGGATTTCAGCTAATGTATAGTTAACCTCCTGCAAAGAAATTTCTGTCCTTTTAAACAGGTGTGAGTTCATAAGTTGCTGCTTGTACACATAAATAATCATTGCTCTTGTGACCTAACCTTTACATTTGTCTCCTTTCTGATTTCTTTCAATCATTCATAATTCCTTTCTCTTAACCTAGCTCTACAGCAGTGGTTTTCAAAGGGTGGTCCTGAGGCCCTCAGGATCCCTGAAGCCCTTTTAGGGGAGTTGCAAACTCAAAATTGTTTTCATATTAGCAACAAGACAACATATGTCTTTTTCCTCTTGTTCTCTCACAAGCCTTCAGTGTAGTTCTGCAGACAACATGCCGTGTGCATGCCCAGTGCACCCACTGCCAAGGCAGACACAAGGGTCCAGCTGTCCTCCATTAAGCCAAACGTTAGAGTTTGCAAAACTGTGACGGTGTCATGCTTCCCACTTACAGTTTTTATTTCAGAAAATAGTTTTTGAAGTAAATTAAAAATATGTCTTTATGTTAATGCATAATGGATCTATCATTGTTATTTTTAAATTAAATACATTTTAAGTTTGTTATTCTAATTTCTAATATAATATATATCAATAAATATAATTCATCTCAATAAAAGCTCTTTGGGGTCCTCAAAAATGTTCAGGCTTATAAAGGGATCCTGAGACCAAATTATTTGAGAATTCCTCCTTAGAGCACTCTCACTTACCTAGATTTGCCAGCACATAGGAGAGCACCTAGCTTGTGGAAGACATTCAGTAAACATTTGGTGGAAGAATGACAGAGCATTCAGAAGCCATGACTGCACTTGTTTGACAAGCTTTTGTGTTGGTTGCAGAAAAGCATGAATTTTAGACCTAGGCTTGACTCCATTCACTGTGACTCTGGGTCCTGTGGCTTAGATTTTCCCTGGCTTGCAGCTTCCTCCTTAGTAAAAGTCATTTCTGTTTGTAAGAGAGTCTGTGAGTGCTAATTACATAGCCTCCTGAAGTGTTGGGTGTGTGGCAGGTACTCCAGTGTTAGTTCTCTTTCCTCTTGTTGACTATGTGGGTAGTTGGCCTGTTCAGCAGATTGGAGATGAATAAACAGGAGAAAGCTGCTTGTCTACATTTGGAAACATCGGTGATGATGAGGGAATGATGTCATGAAGTGAGTTTTCTCCCTTTACCTCCTTTCCATATAGCTTGTGTTTAGCTTCAATGACAAGCTTTTTAACTTACTGGTGAAGGATATTGAAGCCATGGATCCTAGTATCCTGAAGGGAGAGGCTGCGACAGGTAAAAAACAGAAGGTACGTGTGTTTCTCGTGATATCTACTGGGATTATCGTTACGATGTGAATTGTGCAAAGCCATTGTCTTGCCGGGTGATTTCTTTCATAGTCTATACTCTCTTAAGAGAGTAGGGAGAGAAAAATTGCTTTATAGCTAGCATTATTATTAAAATATTACACCAGAGTTATATGCCGACCTAACAGTTACTTGAAATTTCTATATGTACTTGTAACCTGCTTCAGTGCAGGTGATATTTACTGAAAATAAATAATAGCAATGCAAAAGACAATAACAACCGATATATGCATTGAATAATGAAAATATAAGCAGTAGAAGGTAGTTGTGAGTGAAATAAATGTGATTTAGATAATGGATTAGAAGATCTGCTTTGCCCAAAGAGGCCCCATATACCTTTCATTTGGGGGGTGGGGGGGGGCTTGCTTTGCGAAATCCAGAAATCTGCTATTAGACTAACTGCTAACTAATGTCTTTCTGTGCAGATTGATGTAGGACTGGTTGTTGGCAACAGTCAGGTCGCATTTGAGAAGTCAGAAAATTCGTCACTCAATCTTATTGGTAAGATTTGTAGTTTTTAGAAGATTCTGAATGAAGTAAGACTATCTCTGTTGTTGCATAGATTCTACTACAGATTTTCAAATGGGGAAAGAGAATAGGGATGCCTCCTCTGAGAAAGCTTGTCACAAAATCACATCTTTCCGATGTGCTGATGTAGAAAAAAATTTCAAACCTTCATTAGATCATCATTGTCCAGTAGAATATAGAAGATGACCTACATACGAAATTTTTAATACTCTGATAGCCACATTCAATATAAAAAGATACACATAAAACTAACTTTTAAACTGTTGATATTGATAAATCCAGACTTACAAAATATTTGTAAAAAACAAATCAGAGTTTCTGTATAGCCTTCACCAGCTTCCTCCAATGTTAAGTCTTAAATAATCATAATGCAGTTACCAAAGCGAAAGCAGTTACATTGCTACTAACTAAACTACAGACTCAGATTTCACTCTGTCCTTTTTCTGTTCCAGGATGTAATTCAGGATTGCATGTTGCATTTATTTATTTAGTTTCCACAGTCTTTTCCAGTCACTGACAGTTTCCACTTTTGTCTTTTATGACCTTGAGAACTGGTTAGTTATTTAGTGGAGTGGTTGTCAGCTCTGTAATGCTAGACGACTTCTGTTAGGGACTGTGTGAAATGAATGCACATGAAGATCTTTTCAACACATTTATAGTTCAGTCCTATCCTGTATGCTAGCCTTATTTTTAATAAATTAAATAATGATGTCAGTCTCTAAGCATATTAACTCACCAGAATAATGCTGTCATTAGTGCTACAGTAATTCTTCTTTTCAGTTGATTTGACTATATTGATGTCTCAACTGCAGTAGAAAATGAGAATTTTCATTGGTTGCCTATCAACATGTGCACGGCTGTTTAACTTTCTTCAAATGTCTGGGCTTTTTTCTTGATCCATAAATTATCATTTTACCTTTATTGTTTCGTTTTTAATTATAAAATAAAAGTACTTCATTTCCTAAAATATGGACAGGAACTCAACTCACACTAAAATTTTTTAATTTGATTTTGTCTTCAAGCAGTTTTATTATTGTTCTTTTTGCTTAACATATTTCATGTAATAAATGTACCTCTATAACATAATTTTTAATGACTATATATGTCATTTTATGGATGTGGGATATATCATAATTTCCTATTATTTGACCCCATACTTTCCTGAAGTCATTTCTTTGTATTTTATTTTTTGTCCACCTTTTGTTAATGTTTCTTATCCCAAGGAATTGCACTACTTTTATATAATATGGGGATTTTTAAGAAATTCTTGCAAAGGTATGATAGATTTTTTTCCCCCGTTGGAAATTAAAATTGTGTTGTGATTGAGCATTGATAAATTTGGCCGCAAGAGGGCACTAGCGTGTAAGAAATATTTTTGATAGCTTCATAAAGGAAATGTTAAGTCTACAAAACTCTAACCATAAAATCACCATCTAGGATAAGCACTTTGAATGTGACCTTTTCATTCCTAATTTAAAAAATCTATAGTATTACTCTCGTTTTTGTTTATAGTAAAGTGTTCTAAGGTACTTCATTCTTCAGTTGAGACATTGTGGTTCCCTTTAGTAACTGTGGGTGGCACTGTGACATTTAAGTTAGATCATTTTCAACTAAAAGAATTTGAAAACACGATTTTTGAAATCATTAAAGACTTTGGGATGATTTTTGACTTATGTGTGCAAGTGAAGAAAAAATAAGACATTAAACTTACACAGTGTCTCTTCTTAGACTGAGGGATTATGTCCCAATTATAAACTTAATATAGAAAAATATAGGTATTTTTAAGTATGCTTTCTTTAGGAGATTTGAGGACACCTAGATTTCAGCTGTGTTTCTGGCAGCTAATGTTGTCTTCATCAGATATGCACATGGTGTTTCCTCTAATCAACTAAGTTAGTAAACTTGTTCAGGATTAAAGATGAGTGAGATTTAAGCGCCATGGATTGGTAACAAATGCACTTTATTTTAAAAGCATTTTACTGACCCTAAGTGGGAACCAGACAAAGTAGTTAACATAGCAAAACTCATCCTTGGAAAGTCAGCTCGAACCTGCGGTTCATCTTTTATAATTGCGGCTTCTTTTTATTCAGTGAGGATGCCCCGGAGTTCTGTCTCTTTGCATTTGTGATGAACTTCTCATTTCACATTTTTATCTTTACTTGACACAGGCAAAGCTAAAACTAAGGAAAATCGCCAGTCTATCATCAATCCTGACTGGAACTTTGAAAAAATGGGAATAGGAGGTCTGGACAAGGAATTTTCAGATATTTTCCGACGAGCATTTGCTTCCCGAGTGTTTCCTCCAGAGATTGTGGAACAGATGGGTGAGTTTAAAAAAGGAAAATTTGATGAAGTTTTGTGTTGTTAAAGAAAAAAAAAGTGGTGAATTGTTTTTTCAATAGTGTTTAAAATTATTTTTCAGTCCTGGCAAAGAATTTTTCGGTTTTAACTTCCTCTTTTAAAAAAGACATTTTCTGAAAAACTTTAAATATTAAAATTTACAAAAGGCATTTTGTGGGGAAATTATGGAAATATTTTAGCTTGTGCCATTGTATCTACTTCCTCAGTACATTTTTCTAAGAGACATAATATAGAAATAGCTTTTCATTTATTTGTTTCACCTGACTCTAAAGGTCTACTATGGGTCAGATTTACCCCGCTGAATAATCACTATTTATTAGACTGTGGATATTTTAATATTCGCTGCTGCTATTTTTTTTTTTTTTTATTGTGCTCTTGCCTTACCCAATTAGGACATCTTCATACCTGGTAAATGGATACTTGGCTTGTTTTAAAATTAGATAAGTTTGATCCAAAAAGCCAAATGCAGGACATAATAGGAGTTTCCATACTGTGCTCTTCATTTATCACTTTCTCTGTGAAGGTTTGTTTAGTTTATCTGCATGAAGTGGCTTTATTTGCCCTCATGGAAATGCTGTCATGGCCATTTTCATGTCTGTATCATCATAGGTGGGTTTGGAATGTGAGCCACAGAATATCTGAGAAAGGAATTTATAACCTAACAAGCTTCTGGCAGATTGTTAGTATAAAAACAGTACCCAGAAAAATTGAAGGAATACGAATATATTACTCCCTTCACCCCCATCCTTCTTTATCTTTAAATTGCTACTGGGAGATAAAGTGTATTCATCATGGTGGGATAAGAACTGCTTTCGAGGCACTAAGTGCCTGTTCTGTTAGCCTCCTATTGTTGGTAGCTTTTCTGCCTGGGTGCTCACTCTGATAAATTGCAGGAACAGCACACACCTGTTCAGTGGCTAAAGGTCGAGTTTGGAATTGGATTAAGAGAAAATGACAGAGACCCTCATCACCTGAGTTTTATACATCTTGAAATGCCAATGACATACTTTTTCTTTTTTACCTGAAAGATACAAAGGCCAAGTCCATAAAAACCAGAATTTTCATTTGAAAGTAGTAAAAACTGTGGTAGTTCACTGTCTTGGTAATGTGTATTTCAAGGCACCATAAAATCCCTAAAACTTTTTGATCAAGACGTGAAAATATTGCTTTAAGTTCCTCTTAGATACAAGCAGAGATACAGAATGATTCCAGATGTTCTGCCTTATCCTTGTGGAATATTTCTACTGTTTTTCAAGAGTGAGGCCTGATGCAGAAGTCTAGTGATTCTGTTTCTTTGAACATTTATACTGTCCGGCCAACAAGTAGAAAAAGAACTCCTTCCGTAATAGGCCATATATTTTAATTTATTAATATCTTCTCCCAATTTATAAGCTCTTGAGGATTCAGTTATTCTGATACTAGTTACCCTATTTGTGCATTTTCCAAACCCTGCTCACTAGGGCCTTTTTCTGGGGTTAGGTAGATATGCCTGGAGCAGTAAAACAACTATCCGTCCAGTGGTGACTTTGCCAGCTCTTGAAGGGTTTGACATGAAATCAGATTTGGAATTTCTGAGTGAATTTCATCTGTGTTTCTGCAATCTGCATTTAAAATGAGTTGAGTCATAGCAGTGTGCTTTTTGACCAAGGACTGTAGACTTGAATTTCGTTTGTAAGTGCTACTATCCAGAGCCTTTGTTGTGGATTTATTTCTTCTACTTTTTTTACCCTAAACTAATTAGGCAGAAGATGAGTTGTGTCCTTTATAAAAGGCAATATGTTCTTCTTTTTATGGTTTTTTACCATCAAGAAGCATGTGTTATCAATTTGATATAAAAGGTAATAAGTGTTAAGTTAACCTTTGCTTTTGAGCTGAATTGAAAGACTATTTTGAATGAGGTGTTGTGGTGTCCTAAAGCTAATTTTTAACGGTGAAATGGCTAGGAAATAATTCTCTTGCTGTGCGTATATCATTTCCCTTTTTCCAATACAGGCTTCTTTTTTCCTTTGAATTTTGAGGGAATTACACAGTAAAATATTTCACTGCAAGTCAAGTACTCTGTAGGTTATAAAGGTCTCATTGGGCTTTGGTAAAGGCATATAAGTAGACTATAAAATAACATTATACAAGTCCTTTCTTCACATATACCCCCTGTTCTTTGACCCTGCCAGAAGGGAACAAAATTGACTGTTTTTTTCCCCTTCATTCTTTGTTAACTTAAATCATCAACCTTTCTGGCTTTGGGATCCAATTGAACATTGGTATAATTGGTTAAATCAATTCAAATTTTAAAAAATAGTGATTACGAAAAGAATAATTTGTGTCGGTTATGGGACTGTTTTGTTTCAAGCAGAGAACTTTTTTGCTTTTGGCTTGAGACCAAATCATTGTTTTTACCACGGAATCTAGAGTTATGTCAACTTTGTAAATGGCAATCTTAACTAAATGCATCTTTTTGACTATATGTTGAAGTTCTAAGTTCACAAAGTGATAACTTTAGAGTTTTCTTCCTGTCATTGTGTTTATGAGACTGATAATGGTTCTTCTGGACAATGTCGCTCTTTCATTTTGCTTGTAAAACTGTACATTGCTTTTTAAAATCGAGTATGTCGTTTAGATACATACAGAATGCTGCCCGTGAGATATAGGAAGACCTGAGGACTGAGCAGAGGTATGCAGTTAGGCAGGAAAATTAGGGATCAGGCCACGCAGTGGTCATTAAATGTGTCCTAAGTACTTTCAAGCACATACTCTATACCGCCCTGCTTTTTAAATATTTTTATAACATATAAAACCAAGGGAAGCCTTAAAGGGCAAGAGATCACATACAGTGCTACAAATAGAGGAAGAGAGACCATGTGTAGAAATAGGAAAGGGGTTACTCAGGGGGATGTATCAGTTGCATTTCGTTGTTTTCATGAGCGTAACTAGTTATGCCTTGTGTGTAGTGGTTGGACTCACTCAGCCCACATGGGGCAGCTCTTCCTTGGTAACATGATGCCAACATGAACGCATGAGCATGGAAGTTTAGACTTACACCTGTATGTAGTGGATGCCAAATAGACATTTAGTTAGGATATCCTCTGCTCCCACGATGGTAAATGTTTAATTAGGGCTGACCTTAAATCCTTATTTGTGGGTTAATAGAACCATCTTTTGGTCCCAGAGTGGAAATGTGGCCATCAAAAACTTATCTGGAAGGATGGGGGGCTAATTCAGCAGCTGATAGCCTGCCAAGGGCATATTCCTATCCACTGAACGTATATTTCTGTTCAGACACTTGCCACACTTACACCCTTGCAAGGAGTTTTGTGGTGAGTGCTCTGGATAAATCATTGATTGATTACCTCAGTTCTTGTTGTAGTTCTTTTGTTGGCAGAGACTGAGTTTCTCCAGTGAAACTTCGTTTTTCAACATCCTTGGCAATTACCTCTGAATTGTAAATGTCAGAGCAAAAAACAAATCCTTTCCAAAGAACAGTGGAATGATTGTTAAAGAATTAGCTGGTGTCTCTTAAGGTAACTTCAGGATTGTCCAAGGCAGGGGCTTTGGCAGCAGTCATCCATTTGAGAGCTAGCAGGCGAGGGGTAGGGACCCTTTCCAGCCTCACACCGTCTGTGGGGGTCTCTACTTTGTAGAGATCAGGCCACCTAGTGGGGAGGAAAGTCACTTTTTAGGGTCTTGTGCCCCCATTCTCATGAAGTTGACACTGTTCTTCTGGCCCCCTGGCCTCCTGGCCTCCCTCTCTAAGCCCATTTCAATCCATGCTTTTAAGGTTTCACTTGAAATTCTCGAGGAAAGGAGCCCTTTTCTGACTGATATCATAAGCGGAACTGCAGCTCCCTGTGAAGCAGAGACGAGTCCCCAGCCCCACAGACCTCTTCCATAGCCCAGGCGCAGAGCAGTGAAATCCCGTGCAGGGAAGGGCGCTGAGGCTTTGTGCCTGTTTGGGAGAGAGGGAGTTCTTGCCAAGATTAACATAAACACTGACACTCTGAAAATGCATTTTCACACCCCCACTCCTGAGGAGAGCTTGCAATTTAAATGGGGGTTAAGACATCTAGCCGAACTCCAGGGCTCTGTAAAAGGAACCCTAAGGCTAAAGAGCTTATCTGAAATTTGAAAAAAAGAGAAAAAAAATGAAGCTTTCTGACATTCATCTTTTTTCCTTGTATTAGTCATAACTTGCTTTTCAGCTATATTTTAGGTTTTGAATGCCAACCTGACATCTGTTCAAGTCTGCCTGTAATTTATTAGGGAAGGAAAAGAAAGCCATTGCTCACTAGTTAGAGATGCAAAGCTTCCCCTTCAGATTTCCCACAAAGTACCTATAGATGGATACTTGCCTAGGAGGAATGTAATGAGCTAATAATTTGCTAGTTCTAACTTCAGGTTGGGAAATTTATAAAGTTTTTTTTTTTTAATTAGAAGAAGAAAATGGCTTATGGTCACGTGATTTCCAGAATCTCTGGAGCAGGATTTAGAGAGGAAACCCACACCCTAAAAAATGACTAGAGGGGCCTTTTTATTAGTGGAAATTTTTAACCTTGAATTAATTTTTCCCATTGGTTTTAATTTTTCAAGTAGACATACTTATGTTGAATAGAAATAATGTAGCTGTGCTAATATCTCAGCATCAAACTAGATGTAAATTCAGTTGGAATTTTTTATTTATGGACAAATTTTTAGAAATAAATCTTTTGGAGATACCCACTGAGTGACTAAATGGGTTTGATTTGCTGGCAGCTGCAGTTGAGTTACAGATCAATAATTAGGTCACTATAAAGTTGAAGTCTGTGTTTAAGCCTACATAAATACCAGCAAGAAAATGATTAAGTAAATGATGCCACATTCTCCCGTCTCATTAGGGAACAGAGTGGTGCAAGCATTATATAAAATGAGAAAGCTCTAGATGAGGGGACGTGTTTGTTCAAGTGTAAAAAAAATACATAAATTTTATTTA